CTAACTTATCACATGTTATTTCAATTTCCAAAGGAAAAATGAAATTGTCATTTACATATCTACCTTAGTCTTGACAATTACAAATGCTCGTAGGGATCATTTGGTTGCTTGTTAATAGATAATATGATTTACAAAAACATGATTGTGTATTTGCAGAGCTTAAAATCAATATGAACGTTCAAATACACCTAACTAACTTTGGTTTCATTGCTTTCAAAACATATTCTAGCTTAGGCTTCATTTGAGATAGCTTTCTTATTGTTTTCTCAAGCAACTTTCTAGTACAAAAATTTGTAGTTTAAAAAATTTTTATACTTAAAAATAACTTTAAGAATAGCAGTAAGAAAGCCGCCACAAACGAAGCCTTAAAGCAACCAAATCATGCCTTACACATATTCTGTACGAAGGGGAAAAAGAACAAAACAACAAAAAAGTAGACAACAATAGAAGTTTTATCACCCCCAAACTTAGGAGAAATTATTTAAACCTCAAAAAAGACATTTGAGTTTCTGCAACAATAGCAGAAATGTTAGACTTTGTGTAGGATAACCTGAGCTCCATATTGTGGCTGAAGAATCAAAACAGTGCATGGCGCATGAGCATAGGATGGCGAGAGCTCAACTGAGAATCGCTGAAGAATGGCTGCTAAGCACATTTTTGCTTCAGTAAGTGCAAAGTTCTGTCCAACACAGATCCGAGGACCCCAACCAAAAGGAAAGAAGATGAGTTGGTTATTAGTTGCCTTTGAAACTCCTTCAGCAAACCTTTCTGGGTTAAATTCTTCGGCATCTTCGCCCCATAACTCTGTACTGTGATGGATCAAGATGATGGGAAGCAGGAGTTGAACTCCTGGAGGAAAGTTGAATTCGCCTAGCTTAATCTCTTTGTAAGTTTCACGAGCAAGGAAAAGCCCAGGTGGGTATAATCTGAGAACCTCGTAAAGAATCATTGTTACCTGAAAGAAGTTGAGAAATGACACATTAGAAGGACTTCAGGAGTTAATTATAATCTAAGGATATTAGGTAGATTTAGAGAAGATTAGCTCAAAAACTAGCAAATAGAATTTTCAGAAGTTCGGATCTTATTGTTTTGATAAATCCCATTTCAACTCTGTTATTGATTAAATTGTTACGGAACTAATCAGACCGGCCAGGAGGGGCCGGCCTAGTTCTATAGGAGGCGGGCTAAGCCGCCTCCTTAATTGGTTCGACCAACAGGTGGGCCCCCTTGAGGAGGCAAATAGGAGAGAGAGAGAGAGAGAGAGAGAGAGAGAGAGAGAGGTGGCTAATGCATAAGGAGAGTTTTTGAAATTGGTTTATGTTAGGAAGTTTTTTATTAGGAATATTTGTATTTAAGGATGAGGAGAGGTTAGGGTTAGGGCATGCAAAAATTTGGATTTCTCTTGGAGTCTCTTTGGCATCTTGGTTTTCTAGGTTTCTTGTCTAGAGATTGGGAAAGAACGATCCTCCTCTTGAATTGAGGATCAATGGTATATTTACTTCGTTCTTGTTTCGCTTTGCTTTCTATAAGATTATCTATCGTTTGATTGTTCTTCCACCATATTTTCTTCGATTTTTCTCGTTGTTTTACCGATTATTGTTAGGTTTGTTTGCGAAATCAAGTATTTCCCATTAGGGTTACTTGCAAACTCGAGTATTTCCTATCATAAATCTAGGACTTTTAATGGATTCAACACTTTTCATGCCAGACAATGCTCTGGTTTTAATCCTCTCAAAATTTACTAAATCCTACTGGTAGCCAAACAGCTCAGTTACAACCAGTAAGGACCTAAATGAAGAAGAATAAATAAAAATGGCAGTATCTTTAAATATATATATATATAAATATATATATATACCCAATTTGCTTAAGGAACTAAAAGAATAGGTACCTGAATTTAACATCTGCTTTCTAGGAAACTTTATAAGAAACAGAAACTGGATTAAAAAGCTCAAAAAACTCCAACTCACAACTTTCAGCCGGCTTAATCCGTCAAAATCTGGTTTGTTTTTGCCAAAGGTCTGCAAAATTTCTTCTCTTGCTCGCTCCTGCCAGCTCGGATGCATGCTTAGCAAGATCATGGCCCATGTCAGAAAAACCGATGTCGTCTCGTGCCCGGCGAAGTAGAATAGCTTGCACTCCTCAATAACTTCTTCAGTGGTTAGCCCAATCTGTTTGGAGTGATTTCCTTGTTCTTTGGAATGTTGTAGATTAGATTCTAAAAGCAAGCTCAGTAAGTCATTGTTGCTGCTTTTTCCTTGTATAATTGCTTTCTGTCTTTGTTCAATCATGCTTCTAAGTATCCCAACAACCTCCCTGAGGAGTTCTCTTCTTCTTCTATTCTTCTGGGTGGGTAGGAACCTCATCACATCAAAGTTAGAATAGATTATCATCTTGAAATGAGTAAGAAAATCCAAATGAACTACAAACTTGCTTCATATTTGATGTGGATTCGATTCAGGTTTTGTTTGGGACGGCTTTCTTATTGCTTCTTAAAGCAACTTTTTAGTTAAAAAATTATTTTTTTTCTACTAGAAACTGCTTTAAGCAGCAGTAAGAAATATGTCTCAAACGAAACCTCAGTTTCATTGAAATCTATGATTTATAAGCAGCTGATAATTAGCTGTCCAAAAAACGGTTAAACACATGCTAATGAGATCTGGAAGAAACAAAGTTTATATAAAGGTACTTAACATTACATAAATATTCTGATATAAGGTGAGAAGAAGACCATCTTGCTGTTGCTTTTTCTTGAACTGCAGCGGTATTTTTGTGAAATGTTTTCATGGTAGGGGTTGATGTTTCTTCAGACCAAGAATAATGTTGGGTGTTTCATTATACAACAACAACATCAAGTCTTTGTCCCACTACGTGGGATCGGCTACATGAATCATTTTTCTCCATTGTGTCATGTTAAAAGTCAAATTCTCGTTTAAATCTAATAAAGAAAGATCATTTCTAATATTTTCTTACCATGTATTTTTAGGTCTACATCTACCTTTCTTAACATCATAAGTCAAATCTAATACCTCCATTTTCCTAACTAGGTCATCGGAAGGCCACAGTTTCATTATATTTAAAGAAACTCGGCTGATCAAAAATTTATGGGAATCAATTGATCGTTTCTTGTTTTCTTTCAAAATATTAAGTTGTGAAATCTAATTTTTATCCTATGAAAAAACATGTTACACAAACTTAGGCTTCGATTGGGACGGCTTTCTTACTTTGTAAAGTTGTTTTTTAGTTAAAAAATCTTTTGAAAGAAGGAAATAAGTAATGGTCTAAATTATCCCAAACGAAATCTTAATTGGAAATCGTGAGGATTGGAAAGTGGGTGCGAGCCCTCAAACAAGGATTCTTTGAGGATTTTGTCATATTTTCGGGAAATTATACACAAGACTAAGCAATAATGCTCCTATGTGCATCAATAGAACAAAAAAATTCCATCAATCAAACACCAAATATCAAATACATGAAAAGAACATAGAGGAACAAAATGCACCTCAAACCAGGGAAGTAGACACTCTGGGCAGCCTCCATGAGAAGCTGAGCCTGTTCCAACTGCAGCTCAAAAATGCGACGACCTTCTTTATAGCTACTACCAAATGCTGCACGAGAGATCACATCTCCACTAAGCCTTTGGAACTCTGGCCAAACATTTAACTCACATGATCCTTCACCACTTGCCAGATCGTCCCATCTACTCATAAGCTCATCACAACAAGCAGAAAATGCTGGAATCATCACCTTCAGAAGCACAAAAGCAAATTATTAGAACATTCTGATCAAAATTTGATCATAATGAAAGCATGAAGGCCTTCTTAGATCTTACACTAATCTCATAATAAGGCTTCGTTTGGGATATTTTTTTATCTTGCTTTAATTTTTGTACTAGAAAGCTGCTTTAATAAGCAGTAAGAGAGCCGTCCCAAACAAAGCTGTTTCGTTTGGGATGGGTTTATTTACTGCTTCTTAAAGCAGCTTTCTATACTAAAATTTGATTAGAATGAAAGAATGAGGGCCTTCTTAGATCTTACACTAATCTCAGAATAAGGCTTCGTTTGTGACAGCTTTTTTATGCTTCCTAAAGCAGCTTTCTAGTACAAAAATTAAATTTTTTGTACTAAAAAGCTGCAGTTAAAAAGCCATCCCAAATGAAGTATAAATCTAATGATTCTGTACAAGATAAGGACAGAAGACTACCTTGAGCTTTTCAACATGGAATGCAGGGTTGATTATCCTCCTATGCTTTGCCCATTTCTCACCATCATAGGTTGCAACTCCTAAAGCTAAGTATTTGCCATAAGGGTTTCCTTTTGGCTTCTCAAAGTGGCCAAACTTAGTGGACAAGACCTCTCTTATTATCTCAGGATCCATTATCATAACCCTTGGGGAGGGCCCTATCCAACTAAAGGACAACTTAGTACCACCTGTGAATATTTGACAAAACCCATAAGAATGTTAAATTGCCCTCTTGACTAGTGAATACTTAAGTTTTTGGTAACTGGAAGAGGAAGAGGAAGAATTTGGCGAGAAGAATAAAATAAAGAAGAATCATTGCATTTGCTATATAAGGACTGTAACTAGAATGTGTTTGGCAAAAAAAAAAAGAGAAAGAGCTTACTAGGTTTGTTTTTAATTTTGTTGGATGTAATTAGAAATAAAATTTAACTTGATTTTTTAAAGGATTCGTGTCATGATTATTCGATTAGTTTTATACTGGTTGTAGATTACGTAATACAATCCTCTACTTTCCTCATCCATAACTTGGGATCTGGCTTAACATGACACAGTAGAGAAAAAAGGATTCATGTAGCCGACCTCACGTAGTGGGACAAAGCCTTGATGTTGTTGTTGTTGTAATTAGAAATAAAATAAAATTTTAATACTACAAATAACTTCAGGAATCATGTGAAAATTAAAAAAAAAAAAAAAAGAAAACTTTGATTGGCTAACATTGATGATTAAGAAGAGCGGTTCTAATACCATATAAAAGAGATTGAAATGAGAAAACATATTTTATTATTCTCATCACAATTGATCCCTTTTTATATAAAAATCTAACAGATTCTAGCTATTTTATTTTTAGATTATAATCACAATTTTGTTAAATTATGGTTTTCTTATCGCTTTTTGAAAATTTTTGTGGTGGAAAATTATTTTTTGAAAGCAAAATAGCTAACATTTTGTTTGTGATAGTATCCTTACTACTTTTTAGTATAAAAATTTTTTAAAACAACAAAAATACATTGATAAAAAACTGTCACAAAACGGAGCCTAAATTATTTTACCAACAGCAATTTTACAATTAATTTTATAAAAAATTACAGTCATCACAAACAAAATCGTACAGCTCATGACTAGCTACAGACTAACAAGCAATTTACATTAATGATTAACTAATATTTACATCTAATGATATGAAACAAAACAAAATTTAAATTTTACCAGAAGCTCTATAGTCACAATAATTTAATATTTTAAGTTCTTAACGTCTTAACAAACAAAATAAATTTCAAAGTCTGAAGTAAATAATCATATAGTTTATATTTTAACTCCAAATTTTGCTTGGCACAAATATCTGAAATCCAATAAAAATGAGATGTAAAAAAAAATAAAAATAAAAACCAACGAAAAAAAAATAAAATTAAAAAGGTAACAATGAAATGAGGAGAGATTATTACATGCGGAGTTCGGATTCAAAGAATTGTTCGATTGTACGACTGTAAATATTAAAACATAATTTTACTGTTCCATACTGTATTTTTACTAGGGGTGTCAATTCGAGTCAGCGGGTCGGGTTCGGGTTGAACTCGGAACTGACCCAGCACTGTTCGGGTCAAACCGAACCAGACTCGATTCGGGTCTGAGTCAACTCGACCCAACACGAATGACCCGAAGTTGACCTAAAATTGCTAATTTTCGGGTAAAACATCGGGCAAATATTCAATTTTCGTATAAAAATCGGGTCAATCTCGGGTTTTCGGGTCAAATGTGAGTTTTTGTGTCACTTTCGTCTCAATTTCGGGTTGTTGGGTCAACCCGAACCCGACCCGATTTTTAAAACGGGTTGATTTGTTGAACCCGAACCCATATTTTTTTGAGTCGGGTTTGGGTCGTGTCAAAAATTGACACCCTAATTTTTACTACGATTTTACTATTCACAGTAAAAAAAATAGAAGGGTTATCTGAATCCAAAGTCCTCACGTGATAATCTCTCCCTAATTAGAATCAGAAACACAGAACAGCTCTACCTCCGTACAAATCCATGGCGCGGTGCAAGTAGGGAACAAGGCGATGAGTGATACGGTGGGAAAGCGGGATTGGTTTCCGGCGAGCTTCAACGACGAGCCTAACATCTTCCTTCAGATCTCCATTAGGGATGCGATACCGGCTCCCTCGAAGCCCCTGTGCCCTAAGAGCTCGATCCAGCCGCCGCGGCCGCAGCCAAAGCCACTCCGCCGCCCTCCAAACAGCCGCCGCCGCCACCACCACCAACGACCAGAACAGCACGAAAATCAACGCCATCTGAGCTCTCTCTTCGACTGCTATTACGAACTCTATTTCTCCACTTCTGTTCTGTCCACTAATAGCGCCTTATCTCGTTACCGGGGAGGAAGGAAGGAGGAAGGAGGAAGGAGGAAGGAGGGAGGAAAGTCCATGCCGTCGACGTTGCCTGGTTTTATCCCTTTTATTTATTTATTATTTTATATTTTAAAGATTTTAGCTTGGAAATTTTTTTATTGAATGTATATTAATTATTAAAATAAATAATATATTACAAATTAAAATAATTATAAATTCCAAAGCAATATTATGAAAAAATATAAATTAATTTCAAAAATAGAATGGCTATGGGAGAATTCAATTAAATTAATTTTAAAGAATTAGTGGGTTTAAATAATATAAATTTTTATCATATTATATATATTATATAATAATATATTATTATAATATTATATTAATTAATAAAGTTATATGTAATGATTATTCAAGCTTATTTTTAATATATATTTTTAGAAATATTTTTTGGTATAATTATTTTTTTTTATAATAAAAATTTAAATAGTTTTTTTAAATTTTTTAATTATCGAATATTAATCTTTTTAAAAAATGTAAATATTTTAGATTTAAAAAATTTTTTGAGAGTTTTTGGAATACAAATAAAATTGAATTCAATATATAAGAATTTTTATTTTTGAAA